ATGTTAGGTGACGGGTGGCCGAGGTGAGTGATGACAGGTGGGTGAGGGATGGCTGAATGGGTGGGTGGCTGAGTGGCAGGCTGGCAAGTACCGGTCAGTGAGTTTCCAGAACTTCCCACCGCACGTCACTGACCCCAGTTCTCCACACCTCTCGACTTTGCTCTGTCCGAAAATAACGTGTCCCACCAGCTCTGCCCCTGAGGATAGTCCCTTTCTGCTTCCAGCCCGCTGGGGTCACCTTGGTCAGCGTCCACTCCAGCCCCAACGACCAGATGCTGTGGGCCCTCGACAGCAGGTGGAATGTGCACGTCCGAGTTGGGATCACCGAGGAGATGCCAGTGGGGACCGACTGGGAGCACGTGCCAGGTAGACATGGCCAAGCGCGTCGGGCCGCCCCTCATGGGAGGGTGAGCGCTGTGATCACAGGGGCTCCTTGTCTGCCGCGCGGAGCAGCCTGTCCCCCACGCCACAGCCGTGGCCTACACACTCAGGCTTTGCTGGTTTCTGCTGCTCTGCTGGGGCAGGTGACAAGCCCGTGTGTACTAAGCAGTCCTTGTCTGAGGGACCAGCATTTAGAACGCCAGCCAGCCTGAGTCCTGGAGTTCGCTGTGGCACGCTCGTTCTGGACTGCCCGGACCCTCTGTCCGTCAGTCTTGGGTTCTCGCGGCTTTGCCGTCCCTGCCAACAGGCGTCCTTTTCTGCAGCTGCCACTCCGAGGCCAGCCCAGAACAGGGCGCTGCCTCCACGGCCGCTGCGGCTGACAGGGCGCAGTGTCGGGAGAGCGCAGGCCCTTGGGAAGGGGTGGTGCATCCGCCCGCAGCGGGCCTGAGCACAGAGGGACGCCCGCTTGCCTGCAGGGCTGCAGGCCTGCCAGCTGGCCCTGAGCGCCCGGACCGTGTGGGCCCGCTGCCCCAACAGCCACCTCGCCCGACGGTACGGCATCAGCGACGAGAACCCGGCCGGAGACTACTGGAAGAAGGTTCCCGGGACCGCGACGTGCTTCACAGGCAGGTGCCGGGCTCTGCGGGGCTCCCGGGGCCGTGTCCGCGAGCTCACAGGCTGCTCCCATGGGCGCCAAGGGCGAGGCCCCCCTGCCAGGGCCCCTCCCAGGCTCACACTGAGGGTGGGAAGCTGGCACCCCAGCTCTGCCAGGGTCCCCAGGAAGGGGACAAGGTGTCGAGCCACCACTTTAAAGCTGAGGACACAGGCACAGATCGTGGGTGGCGTGTGGGGCCCCACAGCCGGAAAGTGCAATGTCTGGGCCCGGGCCCAGGCGCTCGCTCCCGCTGCCCTCTCCCCGGCCTGGGTGATTAACGAGTGTGCGGTTGGCTCCTGTCCCTGCAGTGACCTCGTCAGATGAGCTGTGGGCAGTAGGCCCCCCCGGCTACCTCCTCCAGCGGCTGACAAGGACTTTCAGCCACTCGCACACTGCCCAGAGCAGCCACGCCGCCACCCCGCACCCCGAGGACCTGGAGGACGAGTGGGAGGTCATCTGAAGGGGCCCTCGGGCGGTCGTGCAGGAGGGAGGAAGCGAGGCTGGCGTGGAGGACGGTCGGTTTCTGAGTCACTCACTCGTGGACGCCCCTCATCCGCTCACGCCCGGACACGTCTGGCCGCGTTGGCCACCCACGCTTGCTGTCATCCACGTTCTTTTCCGTCTCATTCCAGAACCCACAGCCTCAACCCAGTGATCAGAGCCACTGCTGGGTCAGCAGCACCTCTGAACCCCGAGCCCCGAGCGGGGACAGTGGCTGCTGCCAGTCCACACACTACAGTTACCCGTGTGCCACCATCATCTTCTCCCTGCTGGCCACTCCGGGACCCATTGTGGGGAGGACGGGTCCAGGCTGGGCCAGGGGACATAGCCATGTGCCACCGCAGGCAGCCATGTTAGTAGCCAAAGGCCAGTGCTCTCCAAGCACTGAATGTTTTCTCACGATGGCTTCGTCTCCATCCCAGGGTCCCAGCACCTCCTTCAAGGGGGCAGGTTCTAGCTCACATTCTGTGCTCCAGCCCAGGTGGGACCAAGGCCGTGTCTGCGAGGTGGGGGCTGGCGGGCCGGGGTGGAGCACACGCACGTCCTCCACGCCTTCCTGCCCGCTCACGAGGCGGGCACGCGCGCCGCCTCCGGCCAGAACAGCGAAGGCCGGCGGGGGATGCGGAAGCGGGACCATAGCCGGGCTAGCCGACTCAGAAATGTCCTCAGAGAGGCGTCCCACTCAGGCCGCTGGTGGACGTAAACCCAGCAGCATCTCAGAGGCTGTCAATTAATCATTGCCTTTTTCGCTGTATTACAAACCTGCACAAGGTGCCTCACTTGAAGTCAAATCTCACAAATTTAGGAGAGAAATGTGTTTTCTGAAGCCAGCGGAGAGGCTTCCATTCCTTCTTGTGGTTCGTCTTGAGCCAGCGCTGTCCTCGGCCACAGCTGCAGAGGGGGCGGTGTGGCCGCAGCATGTCCGGACATGCGGGGTGCTCACGGGACCTGCTGGCCGGCTCCGCGCGGGCATTCGGATCGCCTCCCAGAAGGCCGAAGCTGGCGCCTGCTATGGTCAGTCCCTGGGGTCAGCCCGCAGTGCCCAGCCACCTCGCTGGCATCTGAGCTGTAGGACTTGGCAGCCCCGCGTGTCCCGCCCTGAGCCCACCGCACCTCCCCCCTGGACACAGCTCCACACCTCGCTCCGGCCCGGCTGCTGTTTCTAGCCTGCCGCTGGCCCAGGGCGCAGCTACTCGAGGCCTGTTCTCTACCAAGCAAGTGTGTCCGAGGGCCCACGGGCCACAGGTGAAGAGTGACAAAATGTGTTCTCTGGCAGGACTCAGCCAGCGTGAAGGTGGAGGGCTTCCAGGGCTAAATGCAGCCGAGATGCCGAAGTCCCCCGTCTTCACACTTCACTTTTGTAGAATCCTTTTTTTTTTTTAAGCTTGGCGACAGCAGAGGCCACCCTGGGCCGGCCGCGGCTGCTCGTCTGCAGCCACCGTGCCTGGCCCGGCCCCTCTCCCACGACAGCCCTCCGGAACCCACGGGACGTGAGTGCAATTAAACCCCAGTCTCGCGTGATGCTTCTGGACGACTTTCGCTTCAGTGCTTTCGTAGTTGTCTTTCTGGTTTTCATTTTCGTTGTGCTTTGAGACAGTGCAATAAACTAGACTTTCTGAAACGTGGGCGAGTCTGACGTTTGAGCCTGAAAAGGTGCCCTCAGCAGGCACACACGAAGGCTGGCATTGCCACCCGTGCTGGGCAGGGTCTGCCGAGGGTCACCGACCTAGCCCCACTGCCCGGAGACCATAGGCGGGCATGACTTCGCGACCTGGCCTGTGTTTACATTCGCGCCGTCTGCCCGGGGTGGCCGGCCTGAGAGAGCGGTCACCCCTGGGGAGGACATGTTACTGTGAGCGGAGCACAGGGCCATCTCCCCCCAGGGGCCCACGGGGACCAGGCCGCTGCCAGCGGGCTCTGCAGGCTCCGCCTGAGAAACAAAACCAAGTATCAAAAATGCCCACCTGGGGACCAGCACACAGGAAAGGTCACGTCCGTAACGGCAGCAGGACACGTGTACCAGGAAAGAGCTGAGCAAGAACTGTCACACGTCAAGAAAGCCAAGCCTTCCGGGAGACATCGAAGAAATCGAGAGTTAAGGAAAGTCGCTCGACGTTCCCGATGCAGGAGCGAGTGTGTGGAGCAGAGACCTCGGTCCGTCTGAGGGACATGCGGTTCATCACAGTTCGTCAGGTCCCCACTGGGATTTTTATGGGGTGGGGGGGCAGTGAGGAATTCACGGCATAATGTTCATCCCAGAAACACGCCCTTGACTCTGCCGGCCGTGCTCCTAGGCTGACCTGCACAGCCTTGTGTCGTCACTAGGGTCCCGCAAGGTAATGCTGTTTCTCCCAGTGAGACTCGGGTTAAGGAACTTGCTCAAGGTGATGAAGGGAGCACTAGCCCAGGACCCCCAGACCTGTACCGTGTGATGCCCGTCACTGTCCTGGGGGAGAGAACACGTGAGACTTGCCAAGAGCGGTGACAGGCCCGCGAATGAAGCGTGACGTTAGGCAGTCCGGCAGGGCCCACAGGGAGTGAGCGTGAGGCCGGCGGCATCGCAGATGAGGGGCCAGGCCCGACTTCAGAACGTGCTGCCCACCGCCCAGTTATTTGGACAATAAATATTAGATAGATTAAAGGATCTTAAAACCAGCGGGGAGGGGAATGGTGTCTGATTTCTGGACGGCAAAGGGCTTTCTAAACTCAAGCGGTGGGAAAAGCCACAGGGGAAAATAGATTTGATTTCTTCAAAGTGTAAAAATGCTGTAAAACCCTCATAGAATTGAAGGGGAAATAATTGCAAGAAACGCGATGTTGAACATACATCCTAGAAACCTGTGCACAGCAGTAGGAGAGACACCTGACACGTGTGGACAAAGGACATAAAAAGGCACCGCTTCGCCAGCGCCCCGGCTCCGCAGGGCAGGGGTGCAGGTGGAGCAGTTTGGGGAGCCCCCGTTGGCACGGACCTGGGAAAGCCACCGGCAGCCTTAACTTCAAGCCCACAAACTCCGCTCCTGGACACCTGTCCTCGAGAGCAAGTCCTCAGGCAGGAGGAGCGTTCCACGCCTCACGGCCGTAGCCATGAAGCGTCGCAGCGGCGGGCACCGGGCCCGGAGGAAGGGCCGCGGCCTCGCCACGTCGTTCGCTGTGTGGACGCGGGGTTTCCTGGGTGTAGCGCTGTGTGGCCTCGGCGATCACGCCTCCGGAGGAGAAGGGACGGGGAGCTAAGGCGGACGGGGAGCTAAGGCGGACGGGGAGCTAAGGCAGGCGGGCTCGTTCCACCCTTGCTCTCGCTGGGCTTGACGCTTTTCCCCCGATTCCAGCCACACGGGCGGGCGAGGCGGGGAGAAACGCTCCGGCACAGGCAGCTGGTCACGCGGTTCCCTGCAGTGTATGCCTTTTTGAATCTTTTGAATTTCGAGCCATGTAAATGTATTATTTATTCCAAAAATAAATAAAATTTGCATTTTAAAGACTCAGTTGTCTCTAACATTAATTCTTTCTAGTATCAACACTAGCTCAGTCAAATATCACAAAGTCATCACCAAAGACTAAAAACCTCAGGCAGCTGGTCACACAGTTGCCTGCAGTGTATGCCTTTTTGTATCTTTTGAATTTCGAGCCATGTAAATGTATTATTTATTCCAAAAATAAATAAAATTTGCATTTTAAAGACTCAGTTGTCTCTAACATTAATTCTTTCTAGTATCAACACTAGCTCAGTCAAATATCACAAAGTCATCACCAAAGACTAAAAACCTCATTCACAAAGTGTTTTACCATACGGGGAAGTGCTCATACTACAGTAAGTTTAAAAGCACTAACTTGGGTCAGTGGTCTAATATCATGTACAAACTGTGCATAGAACAAATTTAACGTGTGTACACGTGCACATAGGAAAACCGAGAAGAAAGCGCCTCTTCATTTGGGAGCCACACACCGTGGGGGCGCGTAGGACACTCGTGGTTTCCCGGGCTGGGGCCCGCGGCCTTGGACTCCTCTGCACAGCTCAGGATTCTGCTGGGAGCAGAATTCCATAAACGGAAATTCTTTTAAAATCACTGAAGGGTGACACCCCTGTCTTCACCTGTCTTGATTGGAGTGGTGGTAATGTCACTTCTCAAACTGCACACGCAAAGCCTGTGTTTATTACGTGTCCATTGCGCCTCTGTTTTGAAATGGAGCCGAATCCAATCAGCGCGGCTTCTCGGTCACGCCCTGAGGCAGGCCCAGCAGGCGCGGCCTCACCCTGGCCTCGCCCGTCTCTCTCGACTCCAGGAAAAACCCTGGTTCTGAAGAGGACCTGGGATGACGCAGGAACTCGCTCTCGGTGGTGTCTGGGGTTGGTGAAGAGACTGGGAGGAAGGGAAGTCAGAGTAGGGAGACAGACAA